TATAGGGGTCCAGGTGCGTTGCAGACTGCACAGTTTAAAGGGAACTCCAGAAAGTTGGAATATGGTTTCAGGGTAGGATACCCTATAATTTACCATAAAGGGTTTAGGATAATCATATTCCAACTTTCTGGCTTTTACTGTACTGTGATTGCCTGCGGAACACTGAATCAGTTCAACGACGGCGTTAGCCTAGCCCGAAAGACCTTGCTTACATCATCCTCTGCCATGTTTCCATCTGCCAAACTTTCAAGCCTTCAGAGAAGCACAGAACTGTATGCAAGCCGTTCAAAGCTCACTAAACCTTAAGGCATTATGCTGTAGACAGCTACATAACCTTTTGCACTTCTTCAAGACCCCCTCTCTCTCTCTCTCTCTCTCTCTCTCTCTCACTATATATATATATGTACATAGATACACCTTGAACTTTAAACCCCGAAACCTCCACACCAAACTGAACCCTAAACGCTGAACCCTTATCCAATTATAGACCCGAAGCCCTACCTAAACCCCAAGCTTTGCTAGGAGGGTCGGGACGCTTAGTAACCAGTTAAGTTTGGAGACTGAAAAGTACCATAACCCCAATTAGGATCCCTTTTAGGGTACTTATAAGTCTACATATATTAGCTATTTACGAAGTCCCCCCGGCCCTCCAAGTGAGCCCCGGATCGAGCTTTAGGCGAAGTTCCGCCCTTCGCTGGTGCGGCCTCCGTCGGGGAGGTACCGGCACCGGTGCTGTGCAGTTTTGGGGGACCACGGGTTGGGGGCCTTACTTAAAGGATCATGGTACTTAGTAAATTATAGGGTTCCTTAAAGGGATCTGTAGGTTCCTTAAAGGGATCTATAGGGATCCTTATAATGCGATCTATAGGGGTTTAGGGTCTACTTAAAGGATCATGGTACTTAGTAACTAGGGTTATCATTAGGGTAACTATACTTATCATTGCTTATAACCCCAATTAGGGTACTTATAACCCTACTTACTAAGTCCCATGATCCTCCAAGTAGGGTTTAGGGGTTTTGGGTTCAGGTGCCAGAACAGGGTTTAGGGGCTAGAATAGGGTTCCTTGACAGGGTTACATAGCACCAGGGTCACTGACCAGGTTCTATGATAGCAGAAGGACCTTAATAAGAGTCAATCAGAACTTGGACCATTGGAGGGTCTGGGGATTCAGTAAGTAGGTTATAAGTAGACTTACAGGTATCATAACCCCAATTAAGATCCCGTTTGGGTGACCTATAAGTCTACTTTTTACCTACTTACTAAGTCCCCCGACTCTCCAAGAAAAGGGTTATTGGGATGTGCTGGTGATCCTTAGAGTTCTTCATTCCTTAGATCCCCAATCCCTGGGCTCCACATGGCCCAAAGTACGTACTGCTTGTATACTCGGAGCGCTGGGGAGTAGCCAACCCTCAAATTTTGTGGGGTTCTTATAGTTAAGTAGGAATCGGAATGTCTAAACTTGTGTTATAAAGTGGCTGGTAGGTAAGTAGGAGAATCGGAATGTTAAAAGTTTTGTTTCATACAGCGGCTGATTGCGGGAATAAGATTCTAACTACGGAATAATACACCCCAGAACCTTGTTCTGAGTTCTTAACACCCCTACAAGCCCTAAACCCTAAACCCTATACATTATGTGTACGTGTTGCATTCGTGGATCTTCTGGTTTGGGGTTTCAGGGCTATATACCGGGGCCTTATCGGGGCTTTGTGAATTAGAAAGTCGAGCAAAACCTTATAAGCCACGTTGGGGTTTGGGTTTTTGGGTTTATAGAGCTTTAGCACAGGCCTTGTTTATGAACTCAGATCTGCCAGTTTGGGCTTAGAGGGTTAGGATTTAGGGTCTTGAGCCCGAAACCCGAAACCCTAAACCCTGAACCCTAGACCCAACCCTCCCACTGAGTCTCCCCATGCCTCAGGCGAGGAGACTCAGTGGGAGGGTTGGGTCTAGCATGTGTAAAAAAAAAAGAACCCTAATCCGTAACCGAAACCCCTGAACTCTCATTGAGGTCAGCGCTGGAGAGCTCGAGCCACCGGCCCCTGGCCAGGCTTGCGTTTTGGAGCGGGGAGGGGATTTAAGGGTTGTAGGGGTTTAGGGGGTTCCTTTAAAGGGATCCTTAAAGGGATCTATAAGGGTTCTAGAAGGGGTTTAGGGTTTAGGGGTTTTAGGGCTTAAGGGTTTCAGGGATTTAGGGGTTTAGTGTTTCGGGTTCAGGAGTTTGGGGCCTTGGGTTTGGGATGTCGGGGTTTCGGGGTTTAGGGTTTACATTTAAGGATTTCGGGCTTGGGTTTTAGGGTTAAGGGTTTTGGGGTTTAGGGTTTAGTATACTATACTGTGGGATGGTTGCGCTGAGAGGTTGGAGGGCTTACATATCTGGTTTCAGCACTGCGTTCGCATGTTTACACACTTGGAGCCTGTAATCCTGCTTCCTTATCTGGCTCAGGGTGTGAAGTGCTGTCGACATCGGTAAAGCCTGAGCGGGGGGTGCTTGGGGGTTTTTGGTATCGCGTTGAGGAAGCTGAACTCACCGCTTGCACTGCTCCTGTATGAAAGTGGATATTCGTCCTGCAGTCGTGAAGGAGTGTGTGCCTGAGTTGCATCGTCACGCTGGGTGGTTGGTAAGTCTACAACTAGCACTACCGATGCCAACACCAACGTTATTTTCTAGAGCTGCAGGCAATCCTACGTACTCGATGCTGCTGATGTCCTACTGCTTCTGCCACTGAAGCCCCACCCCCTGGAGCTTAGCCCTTCACCCTCCGAACCTCCAAACCCCTAATCGCACACTCAAAGCTCCTAAACGTCTAAACTGAAGGCGAGTCCCCTAAATCCCCTAAACCCTGAGCTCCGGATGGTCCCTGAACCCTAACCCCAAGGGTCCAAGTACCTAATAATCATATGGGTGGTTGTCAAAACTAAGGTCCCTTTGTGGGTCCCCAATATAGTACGGCACCTAAAATTTAGGGTGCCCAAAACTGAACCATAATTTTGACAACCACCCATATACTTTCCCAATCCTAACCTATATAACTACTATCCTATAATCGAACACTACCTGATTCTTGGGTCCTTTGGTCCTTTGGACCCTCGGGGTAACATCCACCCCTGACCCCCTGAACCCGGAGCCCCGATCCCCTCCATGCGCAGAACGTATGCGAGTTTCCGAAAATTCAAATAGGAGTACCTTATCTAGGTAGGCCTTTGGGACATTTTTATATTTTCCCTTATTGGGCTTAATAGGATCCTAATTATTAGGATCCCACTATTTAGGGTACTATATTAGGGTCCCCTATTTTCGGAAACTGCCAAACCCTAAACCCTAAACCCTCAATAGAACCCTATAGATCCCTTAAAGGAGCCCTTCTGGTACCCTTTAAAGGAACCCTTAAAGGGTCCCCTATTTTCGGAAACTCCCATATTCTTCGAACTGTCGGAGGGCCCCTGGGCCGAACTTGACCATCGGAGTTCGGGCGAGGTGGGACTTTCTGTGTTGAAAAAACGGCTTCGGGTTTCAGCGGGGTTGAGGGGTTTAGAGTTTAGGGGGGTTTAGTGGTTTGGGTTGAGGGTTTGGGGCTAAAGGCTTGTATTTTCATGCATGGGTGGGTTGCATTGCTTTCTTTGTGTGTTTACATCGTGTTAAGCGGGGCTTACTAAGTTTATTACTAAGCTTAATGAGGGTTCTTGGGTGGCGGAGGTTGCATTATGCAGGGAGTTGCAACTTTTAGGTAGCTGCAGGCAGGCTTTGACAGTAGCCCTTGGCAATACGAATTGAACCAAGACAAAACATGTTCAACCCATCATCGACTAGCATTCGAAGGGCGTAGTATCCCTAGAAGCATCATCGTCGTTTTCCTGGAACCCTGAACCATCCTAAACCCTAGACAAACATCGTCGCGTTGCTGCGTGTTTGACACTGTCTTCAGAATTCGTTAAGGACTTTCATTTAAGTTACCATAATCGGTAACTACAGTAAATAAGGGCTTACCTTACTACGGGAACTTGATTTAATTAAACTCCTGAACCAAAAGGGTCCGTGTATACTGCTATTGTGGAATCAGGTCCCCCAAACCACACTAAGGATGATCTTTCTGGACCTAATTGACTCCATAATGGTAGCAGCAAGAACCGCATCTTTGCCCAGCCTAAACCCCACATCCTAAACTCGAAACCCGAGCCCCAAACCGGAAATCTTGAACCCCAGACCCCTAAAACGTAAACCTGCGTGAGCCGGCTTGGGAGGTTTCTTCTTTCGAGGTTGCGAATACCTCGTGAAGCTGGGGGGGGCCTCTTGGAGACATGGCGTACATGGTGTGCTTAAGGGTATCTATAAAGGGTCTCTTTAACGGCTCTTTCAAAGGGATCTTTAGGGCTTTAGGGTTTAGGATCTGGTTTACTTTAGAGTTTAAAATTTTTGGGGTCTGGTTTCGGGATTATTGGCTTGTGGTTTAGGTTTCTAGGTCTGGTTTAGGGGCTGGTTTGGGTGTTAGGGCTCGTGGATTCAGGGTTGTGAGTTTCGTCTCTGGCCTTTGGCGCAAAATCCGCCCGCTCTCTCCCTTCCCTTCCAAGCCTCTCTCCCTGTCTCTCTCTGTCTTGCTCCTCTTGCTCTCTCTCTCTCTCTCTCTCTCTCTCTCTCTTTGGCTCTGCCTGTCCGTCTCTCTGTCGAGCTCGACAGATATCCCACCTTCTGACTACGTACTTCGGTGCTGCAAGTGACAGATCTGCTGGCACGCACGCCCAATAAGGACGTACAACATACCGAGGACCCGCAAATCATCAACAAGTTTAGGGTTTAGGATAGGGGTAGGATATCAAAAAACCCCGTCTGGATACCCAAGCGTGTAGAGTCGCAAACCCAGACGAGAGCCTTTAAGTATTTCATTTCTGATGTTGCAGCCCTCTACATGAATTCTCTCCGGGTTTGGTGCTACGGCGCTGCTGCCAGCTCGAGCTGATATGTACAGCTTTACCCGGTTTGGGCTAGCAGTGTTGACCCTCGGTTGAGATGGCGCTGTCCTGGTGCTGGTTGATGGCGCTTCCAGATGAGCCCGCAGGCTTGACTGAGGGGCGGGGAAAAGTCGGATTCTGGGTTCTTGACAAGGAGTCAAATTTAAGTTACCAGCCCTAAGGGTCCATGTACCCAGATACGAGATACTTTGACCCTAAAGTACCTATATAGGGACTATTTTAAGGCCCATGTATATACTACGTCGGTACATGGACCATTAGGGCAAAATAGCCAAAGTAGGTGCCTGTAGTGTTTGTAGTAATGGTGGGTAAGACGGTCTCCTTATTCTGGTAACTGGCAACTTAAAATAATCTCCTGAACGAGAACCCAGGATGCCGACAGCGTTTTTGCTTTCAGGACTTGTTAGAGTTTGTTGTGGTGCAGTACACTGGACCTCCTGACACCAAAAAGTGATGACCCAGGCTTCGGATAGGCTTTGTATGAGTTCCCTTGCATACAAAGCTGACTTTTCTAGTGAGATGGTATAGAGGGAGCGAGCTATGTCAGCCCGTGGCCTTCCAGCTTTGCATAACCCTGAACGATAATTCCGTAGCTCACCACCCCGACTGCTGCCCATAAGGGTCGAAGTATCCGGATAGTTTCCAGAGGGTCCTACCGTCATACCCTGGCCCGTTTCTAGAATACCTATTTATGGTTAGGATCCGTTATATACAAGAGTAGCTACCCCCACAAAAGGGGTAGGGGATGATCCTGTAGGAGGGGCTTCGGGTCTCAAAGACTATACTCTGAATGGTGCAGAATAACTGCCCGGTAGATTCCTTAAGAGTAATGCGAGATTTAGATCATACCCTAAACCCCCTAAACCCTAAACCCGATACATTCCTCAAGAATACTGCAAGATTTGTATCCTCAACCCTAAACCCTAAACCCTAAACCCTAAACCCTAAACCCTAAAAACCCTAAAAACCCTAAACCACTCCGTCCCCCGAGCCTCCAAGCCGGGAGCCCCCTCGCCAGGCCTCGACTTCGAGGCCTTCGATCCTATAGTCATAGGGATCCTTAGGGGTGTAGGGGGGAGGGGTGTAGGGGACTATATTTCCTTAAATAGGCCTTAAGGCCCCCTACCCCCCCTCCCCCTACACCCCTAAGGATCCCTATGACTATAGGGTACACACGCGCATATACCCAGACCCCCTTTGGAGGATCTAGAAAGTAGATCCCCTAATTTGGGGCCCTATACTACTAAGGGTACTTTATAGGAACCCCCATTAAGGGATCTACTTTTTGGATCCTCCCGGGGGTCTGGGTAGAGATCCTTTAAGGCTTCCTTTAGAGGATCCTTTTAGGGTTCCTTTAAGGCTTCCTTTATAAGGAGCCCTTTAAAGTTTCCTTTAAGGGTGCCAATAAGGGTTCCTTTGAGGGTTCCTCTTTTGGGGTTCTGTCAGAGATCCTTTAAGGGTGCCTTGAAGGAGAGGGTTTAAGGGTTCGGGGTAGGGTGATAGTGCTCATACAGGGATCCTTCAAGGGTTCGGGTTTACTGTTTGTCGTTTAGGGTTGAGGGGTTTAGGGCTTAGGGGTTTTAGGATAATTAATGATGTGCGAGGTGCTAAGGGTGCTATAAGGGTGCTCTGAGGGTCTGTCCGTGTTTAGGGTCTCGGGGTCCATGTACCGCAAGACTAAGAGTATTTTTTCCCGCAAGCAGCTCCTTCTTTAGGCACCTTGGGGCCAAAGTATATACTAGTTCACTGCCTGGGCCCTTAGGGTTCTCTCCCGTCTGAGCATGTTTTGTTTGAGGAGTGGGGTGGGAGGGGGGGTTAGGGTTTAGGGTTTAGGAGTAGGGCTTCGGGTTAAGGGTTGGGCTCTTATGGATCCTTAAGCATTTTTGGATGGATCGCTGAGAGTCCTTTCAAGGATCTGTACGGTGTGTTTAAAAGCTTTTCTTCCAGGGCGTAGACTTTACTTGACGGACTGGAGGCCCACATGATTATTCGGTTCTTTGACAGGGCGGGCAATAGAGAGTGTAGATGCTGCCAAGGCGGCAACGGTGATCACAAGACCCCGGGTGCGAACGATGCACCGAACCGAACCCAAGGACCAGTGTAGGAAGAGATTTCATGCACGGAATATGAGAATTTATTGTAGCTTTCTCAGTGGCTAAACTTCTGCTTCAGGTCATGTGTTTGTATGTGTGTATATCTACGGTTTCCATAACGTATATTCTAAGACTAATTACCCCACACAGGTCCCACTTGCCCGAGGGAGATCGTCCAGCTGAGCAAGAAGACGGATTCGAGTGAACGATCGATATTCTTCGAATCCTGGCTAACCTCGGGGGAGGATTGGTCCAAATCCCAGCTGCTGGTGCAGCTGTCGCTCAGATGATGGTGGATGCAAAAGAATCTGACCCCGAGAAGGCTAAGAAGGAAATCAGATTTCATCCTAACGTGCCGAAGGAAAGAAGAATCCATTATGCAAGCATGCATAGAACGTTATTCTGCACGGTTTTAATATGTGTGGTAAGAGCTGCTACGCATTCTCGATGCGGGAGTCCACGCAACATTTGTGACGGGCTGATGAGAGTGAGGAGGAACTTGAAGGAGAGGAGCTGGAATGTGTTTTCCAGGCAAGTCTCGAGTCCTTCAAGATCTTCCTGTGTGGCATTGGGTTTAGGGTGTAGTGTGTTGGGCCCAATTTCAAAACCCCTCAGTGAAGCATCGTACCCGAACTGTGTGTTCGGCTGTTGTTGGTATGATGCCTGATGTACAGTAGAAGCCAGAAAGTTGGAATATCATTATCGTAACCCCTTTAAGGTAAATTATAGGGAATCCTACCATTAATCCATATTCCAACTTTCTGGAGTTCCCTTTAAATGGTTTTGGAGTCTTTGGCTGCCTTTTCGGGCCGAAGTGTATACTGTACGAGAACTTGGCACACCGGGCCTAGAGCCTACAACTTACTGATGCTTACAGTAGAGGCCAAAAAGTTGGAAACCCCATAGCCTCAATCCTAAAGAGTAATGTATGGGGAATCCCAGCACTGTTTGGCCTTAATCCGGTTTCCAACTTTATGGGGTTTACTATAGGACCGAGCCTACAACCTACTGACGCTTAGGACCGCAACCCTCCAAGGCAGTTGCCTTAGACGAGGGTCCATCTATACTGGTCTTTAGGGACCGGCTTCCGTAATGGGAGTGCTTATGGACCGCCTCTGGGATTGTGTGGTTCTGTAACCATTGGGGTTTCGGGTTTCGGGTCCTACCATAGAAAAGCATTGTCACAACAACACGCAGGAGTCCCGGAGCTGTTTTTAGACTGTGCTTGAAGGGACTTTGTCACTAGTGACTTCGTAGAGTTGTAACCTCAATTAGCACCCTTTCAGTGTAATAATTGCAGAGAGCGAAAATAGGCGCCTTCGAAAGGAGCCATTTCAAAGGAACCCTAAACCCTAAACTGCTTGTTGTCTTCTTACCCACCCGGTCCCTGTACAATTGTGACCACTGGTCCCAGGCCGAAGGCGGCAGCAAGAAGAAAAGTGACGACGACGAGGCAGTTCTCATGGTAAAGGTCCAAGCACCTACGTGTCGTATACTCTCCAAAATAGTAGCCTATATAACTACGATCCCACACCCGAGTACCTAATTATTAGGTCCTTTGGACCCTGAGGGCTAGACCCAAAACCCTGACCCAACAATCAAACCTATGACAACTTTGACAAGTGCTTCTGCTCCACGGGTTGTACCCTTGAAGTAGGAGGTCGTGTAAGTAGTCTTGAGCTGTAGGGTTTCTAGAAGGACTGCATTGGATTGCAAAGAGTCCTTAGTTAGAGCATACCCCTCGAACTATGGCATGACCTGAAGTATGATTTCAGGTGTATTGCATCACTCAGGGGTTGTAAAGCAGTTTCCCTTTTCGTCTTTTGGTGTTTCGGGTCCAGGGATTTAGGGTTTAAGGCTTCATGTGCTGTTTACAGTTGAGGTTTTAGGGTTTAATACAGTTGAGGCTTTAGGGCTCCCTACTGATGTCGTCCCAAAGTTGCGATATTGTAAGTCACATGCCTTCCGTTATATGTCAGCTTAAGTTAGGTTCTACAAACCTCAACGCCAAAGCCCTAACACCCTAAACCCTGAGCTCTAGCCCTACACCCTCCCCTAGACAGGTACAGTCCGAGGAGACTTCCTCCACTGCCGAGTCTATCGCTTCCCAAGCGCGACTGAGCAGAAGAGGGGAGTTCTGACCCAAAGGGTTGGAAGTCTGAGTAGCTGAGTGAGGGCAGCTTACACTTTTGGAGATGATACTGCTGATGGACAAAATCCTGCATGACCCTCAGGACTCTAAACTATGGGAACTATGGTATATGCCTTAAAACGGGTAATGCAGGATTTTGTCCATCAGCAGTATTATACCATATAGAACTGAAAGTGTGCATTGTTGGGGGCGTATGAACTCAGCAACTAAGAAGTACACCCAAACCATTATGGTAAAATCCTACTACGCGAATGCTACTATCTAAAACGCATGTACTTAGGACCGTTTGGGTGGGTTGAGGGATCAATTCAAGGGTTCGAGGGCTTAGGGTTCAAGGTTTAGTTGTTTGGGGGTGCAGTGGTTAAGGTTGAGGGCAGTTCAAGGCATAAATGAGGGAAACCTACTTCAACCTACTTCCTGTTGATCCTTTACTGTGAGCTTCTTATGTACGTCCATACGAAAGTAGGTTTCCGGGGTTTAAGAAGGTGTTGCTGTTTGTGTTTGGAGTTCAGAGTTTATGGTTTAAGTTCAGAAATATCAGGTTTAAGGCGTTGGTCCTGGGCTAGACGATCCTGCGCCCCAGTGCCTATATCCCAAAACTCCCAACGCAGAGACGGCAATCATGACGCCCTGAGCCGCCGGTAAACGCTTTCACAGAGACGTTTGATTACTTAGACGGAGGAGTCACATCACCTTATAGTCCAAGAAGAGCTCCAATCTAAAACTGACCTTTACTGTTTGGAAGACTGCTACAACAACAGCAACCACAACATCAGGTACTGCTACGACTACTACTACGACTGCTACTACCACTGCTACTGCTACTGCTGATACTACGACCGCGAGTACGACGACGACTCTTTTGCTACTCCATTCTCTGAAAGGCCCAAAGGCTCCAAGTACTTTTTTTATTTATCGTAGATACTTAAGCTTTAACGGGTCCCTACATAGGCACTTTATGGCCGAAGCATATACTATGTGGGTACATGGAGCCTTAAACCCTCAACCTACCCTAAACCCTAAATCGTGGAGATGTGAGGACCTTTATGGATGTAGTTGAGAGCTGACTGCAGGCAGACGTAAAAGTCAACTCAACTTTTTTAAAAAAACCCTAAATCGTGAAGCATCCCGATATGGGAGTTTCTTAAAATGGGGGGGCCCGAAAAGAGTGCTAAATAGTAGAATCCTTTTTATGAGGACCCCAAAATAAGGTACCCCTCATTTTCGGAAAGTCCCAAAAGGGGACATGGAGCCTTACTTGGAGGGTCGGGGGACCTAGTAAGTAGGTAGTATGTAGACTTATATGTACCCTAAAAGGGACCCTAATTGGGGTTATGGTACTTATAAGTCCCTAAAATACCCAGTTACTAAGTCCCCCGACCCTCCAAGTAGACCCTAAACCCTAAACCCTATAGATCCCTTTAAGGAACCCTATAGATCCCTTTAAGGAACCCTATAGATCCCTTTAAGGAGCCCTTTAAGGAGCCCTAGTTACTAAGTCCCCCGACCCTCCAAGTAGGGAGAAGCCGGAATTCGGGAAGCTTAGGCCGGACTCCGAGAGCGAGTCCAGGCCGATACCCTGAACGCCGTGGTCTAGGGTTTAGCGTTCTTTTAGTGTTTAGGGTTCTTTTAGGGTTTAGGGTTCTTTTAGGGTTTAGGGTTCTTTTTTAGGGTTTAGGGTTCTTTTAGGTTTTAGGGCCTTGGCTTTTAGGGGGTTTAGGTTTTCAGGGTTCAGGGTTTTTGCAATGTGGGGGCGGGGTTGGGGTTTAAGGTTTTTAGGCTTGTCGGGTTTGGACTTTCAGGGTTCAGGGTTTACGTGTTCGGGTTTAGGATTTTAGAGCTTAAGGGCTGAGGGAATTCCAGAATGAAGGACTGGATAGGGTTTTGTTGAGATTTTGGCGGGTTTAGGGTCTAGGGTTGCTTTAAGAGTTCTTTTCGAGCCAAAGTGCCGCTAAAAGCAGAGCCTCGGATTTCGGGTTTGAGATATTTTGAATATCTTCAGATAACATTGATTGCGCCCCGGGATGTGAACAGGCCAACTTCACTGGAGACGTACGACTGTTTCCCTCCAATGATAAGGTATGGATGTACCGGAGCAATTTTCTCGTCGATGCAGTGACAGCTGGCGAACAAGATCGCCATACAAGTGCCCTTCTGCACCCTCTCCAAGCACGCCTAAAAAAAATGCGACGATGTGCGCAAGGACAGAACCCACTCCTCCAAGCGCGACTGGCTGTGGCCTGATGACGTGGCACAAGCCCTGCACGTGGACGAACAACCCAAAGGCTCCATGTATCCGTATAATAGGTACTTAGGCCTTAAAGTACCCATATAGGAACCCCTAAAAGGCCTAAGTACCTACTATAAGGGTACATGGAGTCTTAGGGCAACGAGTCGCAGATCCCAACTGGCTGGAACGCTCGCCCGTCTGGGGGGCCGCAGAAAATCATCCGAACGGACAAGGAAATGCTCACCGCTCCCTCGACTCTTCAGATTTCCTTCAAGTCTTTCAATTGTCTTATACCCCGCTCTCACCTTACATAACCAGATCCGTATTCTGATAGTTAAGGCCCCTATATTGCATTCCCTGAGGATCCAAAGGACCCAACAAACAGAGGTACTCGGGTGTGAGAATGGCAATGTAGGGCTCGTGTTTGGGAGAGTAGATGCGTGTGCGGCCTGAACGACCACTGCAGAGAATTTCAGGATTCTGCCTGCAACCCCATACGTAGTTTCGAGATCGTATTCTACTTTCGTGTACGACTGGGTCAGCAAGCCAATGCAACTAATTGCTGGGCCCATATATTGTATGATGCAGGTGTTCCGAGGGGTGGTTGAAAGCAGCTCAGGTACATTAAGAATACATATGTATGTAGGTAGGTTGATATGTATATACGTATGCATGTATGTATGTATGTATTTATGTAATGCATATAGAGACCCTCAAGCTGCTTTTGAAACCCTCGTCCTGCTTCGTCCATGCCTGCAGATGTTACGACCTCGGCGAGGGCCTGAGCGCCTTCCGCACCAGAGCGCTCGCAATGCAGGCGCGGGTTCGTGTGGAGAAGCAGTATGGGTGCGGTTTAGGGTTTAGGGCTCTTGGGCTTCATGAAGCGACTCCGTTTAATGGTTCCTTGTAAACTTAGAGGATCGTAAGTAAGGTTATAAGTAGGTTATAATTAGGATAACCCCACTTAGGGGACTTATAATCCCTAGTATAACCTACTTACTAAGTCCCATGATCCTCTAAGAAGGGTTCCTTTCGCAGGGGCTCTTTGAGGGGTTTGCCTCTCAAGGCTCTGGGACATCCTTCTGAAGCCCTTAAAACTTACCTTAACCCACCAGAACCTACTGTTTTGTAGGGTCCCTATAAATTCATAATAGGGTTTATAATAGGAACCCACAAAAAAAGTAGGTTTTGGTAGGTCAAGGTAGCAATTAGTAAAGTATATAGCCAACCTTTAAACTTTGACCTTTGCGGTACTAGAACCCCCTGCATATTCCCAACCTACTCCCAAAGCTTAAGCTTTCGCTCCCCTGGATACTCGACAAGTAGGAAAACCTAGAGCCACAGCAAGGATTCGGAGCGGCATCGGACCCTCGCCAGCGCTGCTTGCGACCTTGTCTCAGGCTCTCGGCATGCTCAATAGAATACAGGGGACTGTAGGTTTAGGGCCGGGTCGAGGGTCTGGGGTTTAGTAGGGTTTAGGGTAAGTTACCCGGAGAGTCCATGCACCCAAAGTAACAAGGATTTATACTCTGAATGCTTTTGTACCTTGTAACCCTGCCATGTAGGTACTTGGACCCTTCGGGTTAAGTAGTGTTCGGCAGAGTATATGTGAAGTGTTGTCAGGTAGTTGGACCTTCAGTAAATTCTGAGGACTCTGGTGTAGGACGTTTAAGCTTTTGTTTGATTATTAGTAAGTATCGGGTGAAGTTTCTTTGTGGATGTGGGTTTAGGATGTTCCTTTTCGGGTGTTTAGCTTTAGTGTTTGCACGTTCAGGAGGCTGGGTCCTTGCTGCAAAACTTAAATAATTCAGGGTTTGGGCTCCCCAGTAAGTGTCAAAGGTGTGGAACGCTGGGGTTCGTAGGTCTTGAATGGTTTGGGTGTTCCTCAGGAAGCATGTTTGGTTCCTCTTATCGTACATACGCAAGAGGGTGTCCAAACTAAACATTGCACACATACATATCTATGCACCTATATATATATATACATATATATGTGTATGCATAATCATATCTGTTGTTTTATTTGTTTACGTATAGTTATCTACACCGCTTGGGATTGACAAAAAAACAGCCACGCACAAAAATGCTGTAGAGCGGCAAGGGATGTCCTGTCCTGACCTGAACCCCTCAAACCCCAAACCCTTAAATCCACGTCCCTCAACCCTGAAACCCTAAAGGAATGCAAGCCTAAACCTTTAAGTAGAATCCAGAAAGTTGGAACATCAGTATCCTCATGCCCTTCAAGCAAAGTATTGGGGATCCCAGCACTATTCATCCTAAATCCGTGTTCCAATTTTCTGGGATTCGCTGCAAAGGAATCCAAGCCTAAACCCTTACAGAAACCCTTAAAGGAACCCTTGCAGGACCCCTTAAAGAAACCCTTAAAGAAACCCCGAGCCCTTATAGAAACCCCGAGCCCTTAAAGACACCCCGAGCCCTTAAAGACACCCTTAAGGGAGCCTCTAAGGGTTTCTTTGAGGGCTCTTTTGAGGTTTCGTTTAAAAGGAGCCCTGAACCTCCAAAACCCTGTAATTCAGGAAAACCCCTTAGTTAAGGGATATACGTACCTGAAAATTATAGTAGGATCCCTTATATGATTTAAGGAATATACGTACCTGAAAATTCTAGTAGGACCCCTTCTATGATTTAAGGAATATACCTTAATTAAGGGGGTTTTGGCAGGTCTGGAAGCCCTGAACCTTAGTTCCTGGTAAGCAAGGAGGGGAGTCCCTTTAAGGGTTACTACGGTTGATGATATAAATCCTGCAATACCTGAAGGACCCGAAACTATGGGAACTATGGTATATTCCTTATTATGGGGCATGCAGGATTTATATCATCAACCGTAGGAGTCCCTTTAAGGGCTACTATAAGGGGGACTTTGAGGTTTCTGTAGGTTCCTGTAAAGGAGCCCTGAGCCGTAGTTCCCGGGAAGGCCTGGCCACGGGGCCGTCCTCGCAGCTTCCCGACCTCTCGGCCACCGCGAGGCTTTCGGGGACTAGAGGTTTAGGGGTTTAGGGGTGTAGGGTTTAGTGGTATATGGTTTTAGGGTTCAGGGTTTAGGGTTTGTCGTAGAGTGGCGCAAAAGCGGAAATGTCGCGCGACGGGGCTTTGGAAGGTCTGGGTAGAGGGAGTTCCTTAGTGTGATTTCCTCACATAAGTCCTTAACAAGGTATATAAGTGATTTCGGGACCGGGTATTTCGGTACCATAAACTACTCGAAGTGGAATGTGGAAGCCCTAGTATACAGTTTTTCTTTACAGAGCCCTAGTGCAAGGGTCCGGAAGGGTTTATTTAAGCTCAGTATGATGTTGGAGCTTTGATGACGGTTTGGGTTAGCATCATCCCCCATGCAGGCACTTAGGCATGAAACCCTATAAACCCTACAAACACCCTAAACGTTGAGCCCTAAAAACACCCTAAACCCTAAGCCCTAAAAAAACATTCTAAAACCTAAACCCTAAAACACCCTAAACCCTAAAAACACCTTAAACTCTAAACCGTAACAGCACCAAATCCACACACCCATGACAACGCGAAGGCTTCCGGATGATGAGGCAGCAGACTCCGTTTGCCTGAAGGCCTGGCTCGGGGTTAAGAGCAATATGGGGGCCTAAATAGTTACCAGTACTGTTTTAGGGGTTCCTTTTTACAGTTAAGATAGTAAATATGTCCCGAAACCCGCTTCTAAGCATTAAGGCTCCTATATTATCGCCGGCTCTGTGCAACTGTACGCCACAGAGCCCCATCTTAACAGATAAGCCTGAGCCCGAAGAAGCCTAAACCCAAAGCCCTGAAACCTAAGCCCCTGCACCCGAAGAGCCTGAACCTTGAACTAAACCCTAAACCCTAAACCCCGGAGACGTTTGGACTTAGAAGCACTGGGTACGTGAAGGAGCTCCGTGCCACAGCGCCTGGGGGGGTTCAAGACTTCGGGGCTTCGGGGGTTTAGGGATTTGGGGGCCTTCAGGGTTTAAGGGCCGTAGGGTTTAGGTCTTTTTTTTACTTTCAGGTTTCTGGTTTCCTATCATAAAATAAGAAGGCAAAACAAGTACATATACTTTATCCCAGTGGGTTACTGAACAGCCTAGTTAGGGTTGGATGGATCTGCGTAGATAGTTGGTTTATTTGATCGCTCTGTACGGTGGTTTCCGAATATTTAGGGGTACCTTATTTTGGGGTCCCTTATCATAAGGATCCTTCTAGGTACTATATTAGGGTCCCCTATTTTCGGAAACCCCCATACTGAGTGCCCGAATTAGCATCCACAGCAGCAGCAGCAGCAGCAGGCCCGCATAGTAGCAGTTAGCAGTCGTCACTGCAGCAGTAGCCGTTGCTGCCACAACTCCACGACGACGACGACGACGACGACTACTACTACTACTACGACTACGACTACGAGGGCTATTCCTAGTAGTTATAGCGCATACGCATGTATCTTGTATAGATCTGTTCTGATCTGTTCTGGTCCACTTTACGGGGAGTCTGAACAAGGAAATGCATAGGCTGTACTGCACTTGCACCAGCAGCCACAAGTTTAAGAACAATTCAACACTTAGCTCTTCATGACTGAGCAGGTTCGGCATAGTCAGGCCATCGAGGGCGAAATCGCCACCCGCATCCAGCCGGCGCTTTCGTTTAGGACAAGATAAGGTCTAGGGTTTAATTAGGGGTTAAGTGTTTAGGCTTTGGGGTTTGGGTCGAGGTTTTTTTTAGGGGCTTGACAGCTTGAAGAGTACGTGTTTCGAAGTTGCTCAGCTTGTTTTGCCCTGAGGCCCCAAAGCAGTTCCATTTTTGGGGCTCATATTTAGAATCCTAATACGGTAATCCCAAAAAGGAACTACTTTGGGGCCTATGGGTGCTCCTATTACGAAGTGTCCATCCACCTCGGTATGACGTATGCCTGTGCATGCAAGAACTTCTGATTGTCGGAACTCGTCACCTTACCTGGAGCCGGAAAGACCTACCTCTTTAGGGTTCCGTATTATGGTTTCTATGTATATATAGTTCCTCAAAAAGGTAATTAGGTCTTTTCGGCTACAGGTATACCCTAAGGCTCTATAGTGAACCCCAGAAAGTAGTGCCAGGATTCCCTTATAGTTGACCTTAAGGCCATGAGGATAATGATTTTCCAACTTTCTGCTTTCTACTATAAGGGTCCATGTACCTTCTAAGCAGTACACACGTTGGCGCCTCAGTACCTTTACAGGGACTACTTCCAGACCAAACTCTAAAAAACACCCTGAGAGCACCCTCGCGGCCCCCTAAAGGGCACCCTTATGGCACCTTAAAGGGGCCCTGAAAGAGTCCCTGTGGGAGTACATGGACCCTTAGGGATATTTCCGAGTCCTGTCCTGCTCGTCTGCAGGGCTTCCGTCTGTCATCATTTCATCATCTGGAAGTTGCCGAAAATTAGGGGTACCTTATTTGGGGTCCTTATAATAAGGATCCTAGTATCTAGGGTACTATATTGTGGTCCCTCATTATCGACAACTCCCATATAATGTACCAACCATCAATTGCAACTGCCTAACACTAATTAAAGTAACCTACTCTTTTGCTGGCTCTTATCACAAACCTTAAAAACCAGTATATGGGGACCCTACAAAAAGCAGGTTTTGGGCACTTCAAGGTAGACATTCTGTAGAGAACCCGAACACAATTACGCACGGTTTGTATACTTGGAACCTTACCCAAAGGCTCCATGTATCCATATAGTAGGTACTTAGGCCTTAAAGTACCCATAGGAACCCCTTTGAGGCCTAAGTACCTACTATAAGGGTACATGGAGTCTTAGGGTTAAGGTGAACTCAGGTTCACGCATCGGCTATAGCGTCTACATGCAGGAGGAGGTGCCGCAGACGTAGGGCCGAATGTGGAGCCTTGGGGTTTTAAATTTGAGGGTTCCTGGTTTACCGGTAGCCGGAAAGACCTACCTTTTTAGGGTTCCTTATTTTGGTTTCTAGGTATAGTTCCTTAAAAAGGTAGGTCTCTTCGGCTACAGGTAGGTGTCAGGGTTTAGTGTAGAGAGGTTCGTTTTTGGTTTAGTGTGTCAGTACTGTCTCTTAGCTTCAATGCCTCCCTTGGGGAGCTGCTGCCATTGGGGAGCAGAGGCAGAGGACCGAGCGAAGTTTGGTGCTCTTCAGTTGCACTGTTCATGAAGCATTGAGTTGTAGTGTTCCTGAAGTCTTGAGTTGCAGATTGCAGCATATACCCTAGCAGGGCCCTCTCGACAGCGAATTACCAGCTTTTCCACTGCGGCCTTCGAGAAGATGGCGGCGCAGGAGTGCTATGGAGTGTTGGATCTCAGAAAGTACCGCCGGTGCGGCTTCATACTTGCGAAAGACAGGATGTCGTCTTCCGTTCGGGTGCAAGGATTTCTATCTGAGCAATCCTGTGGATCAAGTGCTGGGCCCTCTTCCCAAAGGCTCCATGTGCCCATATAGTAGGTACTTAGGCCTAACGGTTGAGGATAGAAATCCTGCATGACCCATTACAAGGAATATACCATAATACCCATAGTTTAGGGTCCTTAAGGGTAATGCAGGATTTTTATCATCAACCGAAGTACCTACTATATGGGTACATGGAGTCTTAGGGCTTCACAGGGACAAGGCCGGCAGTGGGAAGGAATGGGATCCGACAAGCTGGTGGAACCCTGTACCTCCAAAACCACTTAATTACGGAATATACCTTATATGATTTAAGGAATATACCTTAAATTATAGTAGGATCCCTTATATGATTTAAGGAATATACCTTTATTAAGGGGTTTTGGAAGGTCTGGGAACTCGGGGCTTCACAGCAAGCACGAACTGCAAGGTAGCATTACTTCGGGCAAGTTGAGCATTTATAGATTGGACTTTGGGCTCTAGCAGTTGGTGCTTAACTGGCTTAAGGTTTGGGGTTTAGGATTTTCAATTTAGGGTGTCGGGCGATTCCGGCGAGTCACTAGTTGTTACTCCGCTTTTTTGGTCTGCTAGCCTGGTCGAGGCTCCTATTATAGATGCATGTCGGCGCTTGAAACTACAACCCAAGCGGAGTTTACACTAAGGCTCGGTTTCGAGGTAGCACGTCTTAAGACCCATGAACTCCTTTTAGCTCCATCTATCCATGTGAATGAAGCCCTTATCAAGCGCCAGACCAGCTTCACCTTGATCCGACAGCCTAAACTTAAACCCTAAACACCCTAAACTAGGCCCTAAACGCTAACCCTAAACCCTGCCACAAAACCTGCTTGGAGGTAGTCATAAGAGGGGTTATAACTTCTGGTCCTACTTATACCCTCATTCATAACTACGCATGAACCCCAAGTATATGATAACAGGAGCCCTTGTTGGAGCCCTTCGAAGGAACCCTAAGGAACCCTATTCTAGTTAAGGATCCCTTAAAGGAACCCACTAAAGGATCCCTAAAGAACCCTATTCTAGTTAAGGCATAGGCCCGGTCCTAAAGCCTAAGCCTAAACCCTGTGAGCCTGTACTTGGAGGGTCGGGGGACCTAGGTAGGCAATAAGTACGTTGACCTATAAGTACCCTAAAAGAGATCATAACTGGAGTCAGGGTACATATTAGTCTATCAGATAACTAGTTACCAGGTGCCCCGACCCGCTAAGTACAGTAATTAGAAGCAAGAAGGTTGGAACATCATTATCCTCATGCCCTAAAGGCAAAGTAGAGGGAATCCTAGCACTAATCATCCCGAATCAATGCTCCAACTTTCTGGGGTTCACCATAATCCTAAACCCTGAACCCTAAACCCTTATGCCAGACCAGCTTTATCCTCCGTGTCCATGGCGACGAAGTCGTGCTGGAAACACCCGGCCGCGGCCTCGTGCTGTAGGGACCTGGATACTTACCTATACTACCTTTAAAGGGATCCTTAAGGGTTCCTTTAAGGGATGTTTAGGGCAAGGGCCTAAATAATTATCTGTACTATTTTGATCCTATTGCAGGTTTAGTTAAAGCTCCTATAGTGAGACGGTCGAGATCTGGCCGCCTCCCGGTTTCGATGGTGATTGAAGGGTTTAGGGCTGTTTGGTTTAGAGCTTAGGGGTTTAGGGTTTACGGTTTAGGGTTTAGGGGTTTAGGGTTTAGGGGGTCAGGGTTGAGGGTTTTGGTGCAGGTACGAACACATCAGAAATGGTGCTTGTCGGTTGTACAAGTAGGGTTCAAAACGCAGGGGTTAGGGAATCTCCTCCCGAAGGCTCCATGAAGCAATGTATCTATATACCCAAAGGCTCCATGTATCCATATAGTAGGTACTTAGGCCTTAAAGTACCCATATAGGAACCCCTTTAAGGCCTAAGTACCCACTATAAGGGTACATGGAGTCTTAGGGATAGTAGATACTCAGGCCTGAAATTCGGGGAGCAGACAGCAGCCTAGCTCTAAAAGCAGACTTGTGAAGCCCGTGGGATGCTGGCTGGCTACAGTGCCAAAGCTACTTACTTACAGTTGAAGCCAAAAAGTTGGAAACCACATAGCCTCAATCCTGAAGAGTAATGTATAAGGAATCCCAGCACTATTTGGCCTTAGTCCGGTTTCCAACTTTATGGGGTTTACTGTACTGAGACCGCTGCTCCTTCAAATCTTACAAGCATCTTACAAAGCCCTGAATAGCCTTCGGGCTCCATTGATCTATATACCATATAGTATGTAGCATATACAGAGGCCTGAAAGCACCTATGTAGGAATCCTTACTTGACCCTAAACCGCTGGGGTCGCCGAGGCTTCGAACCCTTTCAAAAAACCCGTATAGAGCCCTTATAGTATCCCTTCAAGGAACCCTTTAAAGGAATATAGTATCTCCCTGAAAGGAACCCCTTAAACTACGTGGAGGGTCGGGGGACTTAGTAACTAGTTATTTTAAAGACTTATATGTACCATATTCCCAATTAGGATCCCGTTTAGGGTACTTATAAGTCGACTCACTAGCTACTTACTAAGTCCCCCGACCCTCCAAGTAAGGAACCCCTAAACCGGGTTTAAACCCTAAACCCTAAACCAAACCCCTTAAACTAAGGAACCCTAAACCCTAAACCGGGTTTAAACCCTAAACCCTAAACCAAACCCCTTAAAGTAAGGAACCCCTACACCGCCGGTCGCCGAGGCCTCGAGTTTAGACCTCTTCGCGACGCCGCGGCGCTGCGAGGGAAGCTCAGGGCGCTCCTGGGAGGTGCCTTCTCGAAGCGCGGATCCCGGTTGTTATTATTCCGAAAGGGGCCCAATGTACCTCTGTAGCAGAATGCAGGGTTTGTGCACTACAAGTTAGTGTTTCGATTTTGGGGAAGTATCCCTCATAACCGTACTTTGGGATTCTGATCATAAGTATGATTATTGTTGCATGTTTCACTATAGTTGTTAGGGTTTAGGTTTAGGGAGTTATTACTATTCTTATTGGTTCATGGTTTAGGTTTAGTGTCATATTTGTAGGCGTTAGTAGAGTCTAGTAGGGTTAAGGTTTTAGGGTACTACTTCAGGGCTGTATGGTTTAGGGTCCGTTAGGGAGTTTGTGTTAGGGTTTAGTAGGACAACTCAGGATATCGTTTAGCACAGTTTCGGGCTTAGGTGTTTTTTTTAGGGTTTAGGTCTTACTAGGGGCTAGTAGGGTTTAGGGTTTATGTTAATTATAGAGTTTATGTTAAGTACCACTATATAGCTTCAAGGGTCCAAGTACCTGCTAATCATAGACTCTCCAAAATCCTAGCCTACATAACTACTATCCTAAAACCGAGTACCTGATTATTGGGTCCTCTGGACCCTTGGGGTAGGGTTCTAGGGTTTAAGGTTCGGCGATCAGGGATCCCTTCTCCCTGAGGTCGGTTGGAGGTTCTGTCTAAAGCGCTTTACCCTAAACCTAAACCCCAAGGCTAGTTTGGGCGTAGCTATCCGTTCAAAGCAGCAAAGAAGATCCCACGGCGCAAGGTGGCCGTGGGCGAGATTGCGCGATGAGCTGCGGGTCGAACCATGTCATTTGCTGTGCCACACGTGGGCGATGCCGAGGCAGAAGGCCTGGATGCTCGTCTGGCCTTCCTGCATGACGTTGGGCCGGCTCGTGCATTCTGGACACGTCATCTGCTGGAGCGCCGCTCCAAAGTCCGACGTCCGATTCCTCCGTCTTGGACCACGATCTGGTCGTATTCTGCACGATGGCAATGACAAGGAGCCGTGCTTCTTGCAGTCCGAAAACAACCAATGCCTAAACCCAAAACCCCGGGCCCTGAAACACTAAGTTCTGAATGCCTAAAGACCAAAAGCCGAAAGGCTCTACTGTTTAAGTTTCTAAACCCTTTGCAGCAAAAACCCTACGGCCGAAACCCTAAACGCCAAAACTCTAAACTAAACCCCCAAACCCTGTGCCGCGAAACTCGAAGTTCTAAAGGCATGAACCCTGAAAAGCCTGTAGGACCTAATGCCTAAACTTCCAAAACCCGAGGCCCTCAACATCAATCCCACACCCCAAAACCCGAGGCCCGAAGCCCTAAACCGCGTAGACCCACAACCATCAGCAGCAAAACCCAAACCCTAAACCCCAAAATCCTGACATCTAAATCCCCCAGTCCCTATTTTATCTTGGAGAGTCTCGGGTTTGGGGGTTAGGGTTCTGAGGGCCACGCAGCCGCCGCCGGAGCCATTTGGAGTTTAGGGTTGAAGGGGTTTAAACCTAAGGGTTTCGGATGGTACTAAACCAAACCAAAAGGACCTGGGCTTTAGGGCTTAAGGGTTAAGGGCTTGGGGCTTTAGGCTAGGGCTTCGGGATTAAAGGGCTTTTCGGCTTAGGGCTTTAAGGTTTAGGGTTGAAGGAAGTCAGGTTTTCGGGCTTAGGGCTTGAGGCTTAGGGATTTCGGGCTTAGGGCTTTCAGGCCTATAAACCCTCACTCCCTCATTTAATTTGTTCCCGAGCTTAAATAAAAACTATCGTGGGAAATATGTGTTTCTGATCTTAAAAGTTGGTTTCTGATATCAAAAGTTTGTTTTACCGAAGACCTAACCTGTGTGACCTGACCTTGTCTACTCCGACCTAACACCCTAAACCCCTAGCCGAAGCCCTTAACCCCTGGCCCTAAACCCTTAGCCCCGAAACCCAAACAAACTCAGGCAATCATAGGAGGCCAAAAGGGGATTTTGCCTATGGGGATGAGGGTTCCCACAAGAGGGTTCATATTAAGGAATCCCTACCACAAGAATCTTAAACCCCCCTTTTGGCCTCCCATCAGGCAAACGGCCTACAAGTGGTGGGAGGCTCATGCAGACGAGGCGAGGCACACCTTGGTTTCTGCAAGGAATATGGCAGTTCGGGGTTTTGGGTTCGGGGTTTAGGGTTCAGGGTTTAGGGTTGGGGGTTTGGTCTTCAGGGTTTAGGGTTCAGGGTTCAGGATTTAGGGTTTAGGATTTACGGGTTTAGGGCTCAAGGGTTTAGGGGTTTAGGGTTTGGATTGAATATGGGTATTTGGAGGGTTCGGGGACCTAGTAGGGTTAAACAACAAAGGAGCCCTTAAAGGAGTAGTAGAGTATGCCCCACAGTAACCCTTCAAGGAACCCCTTTTAGACTCCTTTAAAGGGATCCCCTTAAGGGAACCCTTAGAGGAACCTTTCAAAGAGAACCTCCAAAAGGGAACCCTTAAAGGAACCTTCAAAGGGACCTCCTTAAAGGCCCTACTTGGAGGGTCGGGGGATTTAGTAAGTAGCTAATAAGTAGAGTGATAAGTACCCTAAAAGGGATCCTAATTGGGGTTATGGTACTTATAAGTCTCTAAAACATCTAGTTACTAAGTCCCCCGACCCTGCAAGTAGAGACCAGGTCTGCCCCTTCGAAAGCTCCAAGCTCCGATGGATCATCGAGTCCATCCTCGGGCTACGAAGCAACTCGCGCTTGGGGTTTGCTGAGTGTCTTAGACCCCCAATGCCCTACCTTTAAACTTTTTGGGTTCTTATAGTTTAGTAGGATTCGGAAAGTTCAACCCTTCATTTCTGTGGCTTATTGGGGAAGTAAGGTGTTGAGGGGGTGTTTCGGGTTTTTGGGTTAGGGTTTAGGGGGGGCGGGCCCTAACCCTTTAACCCTGAATCCTAACCCTAAACCAAAAATCCTATAAGCCCTGAATCCTAAACTCGGAAGGTTGTCTGGTGCGTTTTGGGTTTTAGGTTCAGGATGGTTCAGGGCCAGGGGTCTGGGGGGTGTGGTGGGTGGTTTAGGGTTATAGGGCCTCTGGGTGTGGGGCTTAGGTTTTTGAGGTGTTTTGTGGGTTAGGGTTTTGCGGTTCAGGGCTGGGTGTGTTAGGGCTTTGGCCGTTTCATGTATTTGGGTTTTTTAGGGTCAGGGTTTTGGGCCGCGGTTTGAGGGAGTGTTTTGGGTTTTAGGGCTAGGGTGTGGGCCTTAGGTTTGTGAGGTGTTTGGGGTGTTAGGGTTGTTGCTTTTGGGCTTAGGTTTCGTGGGGCCTGGGTTTTGCGGTTTCTGCAGTGTTTTCGATTTAGGGTTCGGGGTGTAGGGTTTAGAGTTTTGAGGTGTTTTGGGTTTTGAACTTTCGGGTTTTAGGGTTTAGGGTTGTGGAGGTAGAGCTGTTTAGAACAGGGGTCTGTAGGGTTTAGGCTAATTTGTTGAGCTGTTCGGATCTGTTCAGGGCTGTAAGAGGGCTTCGCAGGGTTGTGTAGGTTTCATGTCCACCAAGCCCACCAAGCGTCAAGCTACAAGAGGTAGCTGCCTCAGCTGCTTAGAGGTTCATGGGAGTTAGTAAGTAAGGTTATATGAAGGTTATAGTTAGGATAACCCCACTTAGGGCACTTATAGTCCCTACTATAACCTACTTACTAAGTTCCATGGTCCCAAGTGCGAAATCTCAGGCATTAGTGCAGTGACGCCCCAGGAGGGCAGAGAGAACGTCCTGCAGCTTGGCATGGTATACTTTCGGGGAAGACTTGGCAGTTTCCGAAGATTTGAGGTACCTTATCTTGGGGTCCTTATAATAAGGATCCTACTAAATTTAGGGTATTGTATTGGGATCCCCTATTTTCGGAGACCCCCCAACTTAACGCAGTTCCGATAGGGCGATAGGGAGAGGACGCAGTACTTTGGATGCAGCTTTGGTTAGTGCAACTGCAGTTGTCTTTACTCCGGGCTGTGCAGTCTCCGAACCAGACTTAGACCCCACACTCCCGTCACAAAGCGCCAAGTACTTGCGTGGGGGACAGGTTTAAACACCCCAAGTAGCAAAGAGTTCCTCGCATGTAGAAACCAGACCGAGTTTGTACCAGGCAAGTACCTAGGATCAGTTCATGTGTGTAGTTCATGAGGGTTCTTCTCCTGATACAACGGATGAACGCCAAATAAGGGATTCTGTGGGCTTAGCGCGTAGAGTAGCGATAGTCCCAGTAGCATTAGGGGAGCTAGCTGCAGGAAGCTGCATGCAAGTAGTGCTATCAGCTGTTTCAGTCACAACACTAGGGTGAGGTCAGACGCGCCTACACTTCCACCCTAGGCTTGCTTATTCGGCTTCCGCATGAAAGCATACACCCAAACCCTCAACCATTGTGGCCTTTGCCAGTGCCCGTAGTTTGTGAAGCAGGTGGGGCATGGTAACCATTTTTCTAGAGACTTATAAGTAACATCAGCCCAATTAGGATCCCTGTTCGGGTACCTACAACTCTACTTATTACCTACTCACTAAACCCCCCGACCCTCCAAGAAGCTTGTGAAGAGCAGGTGGGGCTTCTTGCATGCACGGAGGCCGGCAGTTCGATTGCCATATTGGGTTCTAGGTTGGGTGCTGACTTCGTCGCCGAATCCTTACGGGAACTCTACATGGGTGGTTGTTAAAATTAGGGTCCCTTTTTGGGTACCCTAAATATTAGGTGCCGTACTATAATAAGGACCCAAAAAGGGATTCGAATTTTGACAACCACCCACATCGAGGAACCTGCTTCTTTGGGGATTCTTGGGCTTCTTGTTATGATGTTTTTATATGGTCTTATGAGAAAGGGTATTCCGGGTTCAGGTATATCATGCACTTTCACGAATGCCATCCTATACGGTTATGCTCTCCCGCCCAAGATACGTTTCTCGGGCAAACACCACAACCCTCAACCCGAAGTACGCAACCCTTGCAGAGGTCCGCAAAAGTACCAATGAGCAAGTCTTTTAGAAGCTCAAAGAGCATACGATTTCAGTAAGTGTGCCCTTGTGGTTAAATTGAGCAGACCTTGCTGCTGGGTATTCATGCAGGCCCTATAGCTGACAGCTAAATTTGCTCAGGACTCGTATCCTTCCGGTAAAACCCCTGGGCCCTAGACAAAGCCTAAACCATTCATTGTTGTGAGATCCTTGTACTTCTGTGCTGCTTTGGACCTCCATATTCACGAGTCCTGCTTATAAATGGGAGCAGGTACACCCCAACCGCGAAAACTCTAAAGCTTTCATACTGATGCCTAAGCCCTACAACCTGAAACTCTAAATCCTGAAGGCCTAAATGCGTGTTGGTATCTGGCCTCCACCTCTAACCCCAAGACAACAGGAAGCCCGAGACTTTCAACCCACCACCCTCGACTCGTCAGCCTAAGGGTCCACAGTATCCAGGATGTTATCCTTACCTGAACCTTCCGGGACCTACCTTTTTGTAGAGTCCCAAAAAATTCCATATCGGGATTTATAGCAATTAATTCGAACGTACGAAAGAGTAGGTTATGGTGGTTTGAAGTAAGGCTCTACGGACTCACACTCGAAGGCCTTTGAACTGTGGGTGCCCCAAGACCATGCTACTTAACTAGGTAGGATTGTGGGACATTTTTGATTTTCCTTATTTGGGTTTATATGGGACCCTGTATCTAAACATTCTTCAGGGTGTTTAAAGGCCAACTCAGTTAAGGGTTTTAAGCTATTTTGAGCCTTAGGGCATTACTATTTAGGGCTAGAGTTTCGGCTTAGGGTCTGGGGTTTCGGGCTAGGTTCGAGGACGATGATAAGCATGAGGTAGCAAGAATCGGGTTTAGGGTTTAGGGTTTATATAAGTTTTTTTGTTGGAACCCTTCGGGTGAGCTGGCAAATGGCAAACAGGTTGCGGCCAGAATGCTTCCACTTCTGGGAGGACGAGGCAAGAGCTCCAGAGATTTACAGGCTCAACTAGGCTAAATCCCTGTCGTCCATAAAAGGGCTGTATTACTGAATGTACAGGGAGACTCTAAGGGGATAGAAATACTCATTGTTTCGACACTCTTTAGAGAATCAACAGTGTCCGGCAGTGCTATTTGTGGGCTGAGTTGTGCGATAAGGGTGTGAGGTCGAGTGCCAGGTGTGGATAAGGGTGTTCACTCGGCTTACTAGCCAGTTTTCCGATTCTTGGGTATGGGGTTAAATGTTTACTTGACCCCAAAACACGAAACCTCTTATCATAATACAACAGACATTCCCGAAACCCTAGTCCTTATTGCACTAAAACCCAAGCCATTAACCCCCACATCAGAGCTAACCCCAAAACTCCAAAGCCCCTACACCCGAATACCTGACCCTTAAACCCTTCCACACCTAAACCACCAAACCCTAAACCCCTAAACCCCTAACCCTGACCGTTAAACTCCGGAGCTTCAAACCCTTAAACCGCAACCCCTGAAACCCTACTTGGAGGGTCGGGGGACTTAGTAGGTCGGTAATAAGTAGACTTATAAGTACCCTAGGGACCCTAATGGGGGTCATGGTACTTTTAAGTCTCTAAAATATCTAGTTACTAGTTACTAAGTCCCCCGACCCTCCAAGTAAACCCCAAACCCTGAACCCCTGAACCGTGAACCAGAACAACCAAAAGAACCTTAAACCCCTAAACCCCAAACCATACCAAACCCCAAGTTACTAAACTCCATAACCCTAACCTCCAAAACCCTAAACTCGCAGAATGAAAGTCCCAACGCATGTGCAGAACAACGAAGTCTAAACTGAACCTGAATAGCCAAAAGAGAACCTAACTCCCCGAACAGCACATCATCCCACACCCCCTAACTACTCAACGCTGCAACCCCTAAACCTGAAACCCCTATAAACCCCTATAAACCCCTAAACCCTAAACCCTAAACCTTATACCCTAAACCCTAAACCTTATAAGCCAAAGAAAACCTAAATCTAAACCCTATCCCTTTAAAGGAACCCTTATAGAACCCTATATCGTACCTTAAGAGCAAAGAAGCCCTTGCTCTCAGCGCCTTGGGGTTCGCGTCGTCGGCGTCGCCGCGCCGCCCCAGAGCGAGGAAGAAGCGGAACTGCAGGCTCCGCGGGACCCAAATAGGGTTCCTTTAAGGGTTCCTTTAAAGGTTCCTTTAGGGGTTCCTTTAAGGGTTCCATTCCTTTAAGGGTTCCTTGAAAGGGTCTTTTAAGGGTTCCTTAAAAGGTTCCTTTGAGGGTTCCTTTAAAGGTTCCTTAAAGGGTCCTTTAAGGGTTCGGTTCCTTTGAGGGTTTAGGGTTTAAGTGTTTAGGGGTTTAGGGTTTAGGGGTGTAGGGTGTAGGGGTTCAGGGTTAAGGGTTCCTTTAAAGGGTTCTATAGGGTATATAGGGTACAAGGCTCCGTGGACAGGGTTTTACAGTCTACGAAGGAACACGATTATGATGATCATGACTAGTATTCTTATTGTCACCATGTTCATCATTATTTCTGGCATTGTTGTTACTATTTCCACTGTTTTCACGGTGGTGTCTTGTGAATTGGTGGAGGGCGGCCAGACCGCCAAGGCACGAAGGTGGAATAAAGGTTTTGTGTAAAATTATGCGAATGTTTAAAGCCCGCATTTTCACTATTGTTCATGGACTTGGCCGTCCGGGCACGACGGAGTCACGGAGTCACGGAGGTAGTAAACATGTCTGTTTAGATAATCAAAAGCCTGCACGTGTGCAAATCATCTCCATAGTCTGACTGTCATTACTACTATTATTGTTGCTACTAGCACTATCATTTTCGTTCTTGTTGTTGTTACTAGTCTTATGACCTGAGTGTTAGTACCCTATGAACGAAGGGAGGGGGACGCACGGTTGGTGGTATGTCGAGTGCCTGTAGACGGTATGAGTTGCAAATAGCGCAACTACCAGTGATCAGGGTTTCCGTGTCTTCAAACAAAGGTGGGCTTAATACCCTAAGGCTCAACCCTAAACCCTAAACCCCTAAACCCTAAACCCTAAACCGCAGACCACAACATATTAACAATGGGGTTCCGGATCCCTTAAGCCCCTTCTACACCCTGCTAGGACCCTAAGCTATAAACCCCCTAAAGGCACCTAAGGCCCTCCGTAGTTCTTCTTAAACCCTAAGCCAATACACCCTCAACCCTGAGCACTCCACGAATCTGAAGGGCTTAGGGGATTCCGGTTTAGGGTTTTTAGGGTTGAAAGACCCCTAAACTCTCCAGGTGTGCTCTGATGCCCCTTGTCTGCACCTGCAGAAGCGAGCGGTGGAACCCTAGGCGAGGGGTTCGAGGACTTGTTCGTGCTTCAGGGCTTAGATTTCAGTTCATGGGTCTAGGGTTTTAAGGTTTAGGGCTTTAAAGTGCGTAGGTATTAGTGTAAGTGGGTACTTGAAGAAGTAGGTACCATGAGCACGGCCAGTGTCAGTGTCGGGGGTAAAGAGGCACCCACGCATCCAGTCGCGGACAGCAAGCTGGATCTCGGCACGTTCCTCCAGCAACTATGTAACTATGGCAGATGGGAGGTTTTTCTCCGACCTCCTCGAAGAAGGTCGTTCCCCAATGGTTCTGGATGGTGGTGATGTAGGTTAGTATTTAGTGGAGTAAGGGGCCATTAGATACCTGGACCCCCCGATACCCTAAACCCACACCCTCAACCCTAAAGCCCCGAAACCCTAAACCCTAAAGCCCTGCGATCCTTTTCGGGTCGGTGAATGGTTGAATGCACTGCCGGCACGGCACGGCATCGATTGGCTGCTGTAGCCCATAGTACCGGACCTGGGACGTTGCTTGGAGGGTCATGTTATCGACTTCTAAGTACCGCAACCCCAATTAGGGTTCCTTTCCCCTAAGGGTCCATGTACTCATATAGTATATACATGGGCCTTCAAGTACCCCCTATATAGGTACATTGGGCAATAAGTATATGCTATGTGGGTACATGGACCCTTAGGGTTCGGGCTACTCATATCTCTACTTCTTACCTGCTTACTAAGTCCCCCGACCCTCCAGGTAAAGAGCTCCGCAGGTTTGGGTTATTAGGGAGTTTCCAAATATTGGGAGTACCTTATTTTGGGGTCCTTATAGTGAGGATCCTACTATTTAGGGTACTATATTAGGGTGCCCTGTTTTCGGAAACTCCCATTAGAGTTTAGGATCTCATGTTTAAGGGTCCATGCACCCAAATAGTATATACGTTGGCCTTGAAGGAGTCCCTGTATAAGGACCTTGGGGCCAAAGTATCCACGATTTGGGTTCATGGACCCTTAGGGCATGTTTATCCGTTAGCTTCTATGGGCCTAAGAACCAGCAGGCGATTTGTGTCTACGTACTCCTTGCAAGCACTTTATCTAAACCCTAACCCCGAAAATGCCAAACTTTAAATCCCTAAACCCTAAACTCTAAACCCCGAAACCCTAAACTCTAAACAGCTACACACCTGAACCCTGAGCTGCTTTTAATAGGTGCTGGTTCAACTTCTTGGAGTTGCTTTGACTTGAGGCTGGTGGCGGAGCACTTTGAGATGCATTCGTAAGTATTATGGGTCGTTCTCTAAGTTAGGATACCTTTGAGAGTTCCTTAAAGGGATCTATGAGGGTTCCTACAGGTAAGTTAGGCCTCTATGAGTATATAGTTGTTCAAATTAAGATCAGATCCCTGCTAAGGTCCCTGTTATAAGGGTACTGTACTATTTGAGGGATCTAGAAAGGGCCCCTTTAGACACCAGGCTTTTTGTTGGGTTCCTTCATATGTTCTCTTTATACAAGTCATAAACGGTACGTAGGCTATTTGGGGGATAAGGTATGCGTTGCATTATAAAGGGTTCCTTCGTGTGATTTAAAGCGTACTGTAGCCACAAATAACCTGGCCTTTTCAGGGTTCATATGCATCTATTTGATCACTTCACACTTGGAGGCCGTATCATTCACCAGGAATTCTGCGATGGTTGTCGTCTGACACAACCACTACAAACTCCCACAGCAGAAGTGCTTTACGAAGGACTCTTTCGTCCCCCTAGGACTACAGTCCGTTGGTATAGTGGCACAGCCTGGATCAGAGTCATGCGTGTCGGCCAAATGACTTGATGTTTAGATTTGCTTGCTGCATGCAACACGGCCTAGGCAGCCACCAGATCCATCACGCTCGATGGTAATGGTCACTATAACGTGCCTCACTGGTCGAGAACCTGACGAGGTCGACTGGCTTAAACCCTACGGTATGCTTCTTCAGTCTTCAGAAGCTCTACAACATCGGCGGGTGGTTATCATGGGTGACGAGGCACTTAATTACCCCCAGACCTGAACTTTTCGGCGGGGCTCTAAGCCGTACACTACAACCCCAAACCCCTAGCCCACAAACCCTAGAGTCCTGAACCCTAAACTTGAAACCCTAAGAACCCTAAATCCTAAAGCCCTAAAACCCTGAAACCTCAAACCCCTCAAAACCACAGCCCTCAACCCTAGAACCCTCCGTTCCGAGGCCATGATCGCGCAGGTTCCTCAACGAGACTTGACCTTGGGCGAGTGGCTTGGACCTGCGAGCAGGGAGGACTCCTCTATCACTTAAATCCCCAATGCCCTGCCTTTAATCTTTTTCGGCTCCTATAGTTTTGTAGGAATCGGAAAGTTTAACCTTTCATTTGTGCGGCTTATTTGTGTGTTGGGGAAGTAAGTTTATCATGCTTATTCCTATGACGATGGACTATGACTATCACTGCCCCTAGGACAACATAGTTACTAATTACGACGACGACGACTACTACTACTACTACTACCACCACTACTGCTGCTGCTACAACTACTGGTACTGCTCTGCTACTGCTGCTACTGCTGCTGCTACTGCTACTGCTGCTGCTGCTACTGCTATTAGTCCTAGTTTTGTTACATTTGCATCTTCTTTTCTGTCTGTACTGCCACAATACTAACATATTTCTATAGTCATGTAATGTGTCTCTCTATCTCCGTCTTTGCTTGGAAAGTGTAGGATTTTGGTGTTGGGGGTGTAGGACTCTTTTGACGTTTAGGGTGTGGGTTCTTGGGTGTGGGGCCCCAGTTGAGGTCGTGCTGCGATGTCTTCCTTGGGGTGTGGATGGGTCGTTGTACCGATGGGTTGTGAGAGTGGACATCGCACTGGGTGTAAGCAATTCCTTAAACGAGCCCCAGTTTCAGAGCACCTCGGCAAGCTCGTTGTCAACATCATGAACCCTAAAACTCTCCACCCGAATCCCAAATAGATAGGCCCCTTTTTCCTTGCGCCGCGGCTCCTAAACCCCGAACAGATGCTTAACCCTTAGCCCTCGATTGCTAAACCCTTAACCCCGCTTTCTACACTCGAGAACCGTAAACCCTACATCCCTAAAGCTCTAAAGCCCAAGCCCTAAATCCTGAGGAGTCAAAGGAAAGCATACTCTGAGGGTCGAGGGGCCTAGTAAGTTGGTAGTAGGTCGACTTATAAGTTACTAAGTCCCCCTAAACCCTGAATCCTAAACTGTAAGTCATCCGAAAACCCGGAGCTCTAAACCCTTCACCCTGCATCCTGCAAGGTATTTCATGCCTTCCAGCATGAACTGGCTCGCTCTCTTCAACTCGGACATCATAGGCTTGTGATCCGGTACTACGTATGTTATACAATAAATATACATATATATATATATATGTACATATATGCGTATTTATACCTTTTGTTTATGTACTTATTCATTGTATAGTGTACATACATACATATATATATATATACACACATATACATATACATATACATATACATATACATATACATATACATATACATATACATATACATATATATATATATATATATATGTATGTATATGTATATGTATCGGTTTGATCGGGTTTCTTTGAGGGTTCTTTAAGGTTTTTGGTTCTATATGGGTTAATTTGTTGAACGGGTGATTCTTGTTTTTGTTAAGGGTTCTACAAGGTTGCTAAAGGGGTTGAGGGTGAACAGTTACCGACACTCGTCCAGAGGGCTCCTAATTGTAATTAGTACAGTATGACCCCAAACCCTAAACCCTAATAACTAAAGCATTGAGCGAGGCGAAACCCTACACAGGGACTCGTAAACCCCTTGTAAGTAAGCAGTGTTTCTGAAGCTATACCGGGTTTTCCACTGCCGATAGGTATTTCAGGTAAAGGATTCAACCGTTCAGGGTTTTCGGAGGTTCGTGGCAGCCTGAATTCGGGGCTGTTGTCCGGAAGCACAGGGCAAGCAAGACCTAAGCCCTGTGTGCCAGGGAACCTTTGTAGAACTAACAAACTTATTTCAATCCGTAGTGTGTAGTACCCGATAAACTCGTACAAGACCTACCACCAACCTGCTTGGAATTGCTTGTAGGTTCTGGGTGCCTATAAAATACTGCAAAACTACAACTGTATTTTTGACCGAAGCAAAAGTCCGCTCAGTCATGTACCTACGCAGCTACAGCTGCAGGCTCTTTTGCCTGCGTAGTCCCTTTATAGGTGCTTTAGGGCCATAGTATATATTATACAGATACATGGACCCTTACCTTAATCTACCAAAACCTACTTTTTTGTAGGGTCCCTATAAACTCCATATTAGGGTTCATGATAAGAACCTACAAAAATGTAGGGCTTGGTAGGTTAAGGATTCGAGCCCAGCACCAGGCGGGTCGGATTAAGTAGGTTCTTAGTAGGGTAACCCATGGTTTTGGGTTTGGGTTAAGGAACCCATAAACTAACCGTTGAAGGAACAGCCTTACCCCCAACATTCTTGAATCACAAAGCAAGCCTAAATCGTAAATTTTCAACAACAACGCAAACACGCACACACACAGACACACACACCAAAACCGAAAACACAGCAACACACAAAAAACTCACCAAACGCCATAAGCCTTACCCTAAACCCTTAAGCCCGACTATAACACGTCCTTTAAGCGAGAGGCCAACCGGGCGCCAACCCGGGCAAAGTTGCTAAGCTGCTCAGTGCTGCGAGAGAATGGGGTCCTGCAGAGGCCTGGTTCCGGATTCTGGGTTTAGGGTTTAGGGGTTTAGGGTTTAGGGTTTTAGGCTTAAAGGGTTCTACAAGGCATCCTTAAGGGATGCTGTAAGGGATGTATCTGGGTTTAGGGTCTACCAGGTTCCTAAGTAGAACCCTTTGCCTTTTTGTTATTTTAGCGTCCTCCTACTAAAGCAGAGTAGTAGGACCAAGGGTACCCTTGTTGTAAAGGGGCTACGCAGGAACCTAGTTTGAACTGATTAAGACTGGTGGGAGTTTTGGAGGTAAGCTTAAACCCTACACCCTAAATCATTGTCATTGAAGTACACAAGGCCTAGCCAACGTACAACAGAGACAGAAGCAAATGGGTCTTCGGTTTCGTGTGCTTCACATGCTTCACCAAAATAGCCCCTGACGTCTGCAGAGGTCGGAATTATAAGGCATATTCATATTCCATTCCTCCTGAGGATTACTTCATGCCTGCATAATCTTGTCAACTATATCCCCAGAGACTCCCAAACCCCTTAATTACGGAATATACCTTAAGTTATAGTAGCATCCCTAATATGATTTAATAAGGAATATTCCTTAAGTAAATTAAGGGGTTTTGGAAGCTCCGGGCCATTCACCGCTGTTGCATGAGTTTAGTGACTGCGGCTCCAGCGTTGCTGCACTACTGTCCACAGAAGAAGGAAACACTACAGAATCCCAGAACCCTACTGTTGATGGACAAAATCCTGCATTACCCATTATAAGGAGTATACCATAGTTCCCATAGTTTAGAGTCTTTAGGGCCATGCAGGATTTCGTCCATCAACAGTAGTTCAAGGATTCAGGCCGCTGTTTACTAGAAGGACTATCATAATCCACATTCCATATACTAAGCCGCCTTGTGATCAGGACGGCTGGCAGCAGCAGGATCGGTCCTGGAACTGCGCCTGGCACTCAGCTGAACTCAGCGTTTTGGGTTTCGGGTTTTGGGTTCAGGCTTGGGGGTTTAGGGTTGTGGTTGTGAGGGCGCTAGGGTTTGGGTTGAGGGTTCCGTTCAGGCCTATGGGTGATATAGAAGCTTAGGCAATTAGTGATACTTCTCCTTGGGGTTGTTTTGTTTTTGTTCGGTGCATTCACAGTCCATACTGCAACATATCCCCCCAGGCGCTGCTCATAAGGCCCCCCGATAGCAGAAATAGGGGTGACTAGCGCAGCGCCGTAGCGGCAACCCACAGCGTCCTGACTGGACGAGGGACGCCAGAGCGAACACAAGCCTTGTGCCTGCCCTGGTTGGAGGAGCGCCGCGGGGGCAGAAGGTTTTCGCTCAGAACAGCCAGCAAGTGGTTGAATTGAAAGCAATGGCTCTGGATTTGTACCAAAGCCCCCATGAAAAGGTGGGACAGGCAAAAGAAATCATAATCAAGGCCGAAACGCACAGCGAATTTGCTGGGTGGTACAATTGTTTTTACTTGTAACTTTAACCCTAAGGCTCAAAATGGCCCAAGAGCCTTATATAATATGGTTTTTGGGCGCAAAAGCCATAAAATATGGGTCCTTAGAGCTAATTAGGGTAAGAGCTATAGACTGGTTTTTAGCGTTATTTCGTCCAGCGATCCACATATTTTCTTAGTAGCTGAGTGGATGCATTTTACACTTTTTGGGATAATATTACCCACTATAAAACTGAAAGTGTAGACTTTTTGGTGGCCTTATGAACTCAGCTACTAAGTTTTAGATATCGAGAGTTAAGTTGCTATAACCCCGAGGTCTTGGGGTTGCAGGTTGAATTGGCTAGGGGTCTAAGTGATCGACATGTCGCTTCTTGGGTTAAGGCGAAGATAGACGTAAGTGAAGCATTGTACCCTAAACTTGCCCTAAACCATACATCCCAGAGATGCATGTATTCTTCCCCGAGGCATACCAAGGGAACCAGAACGAGGTAGCACTCAACGGAGGAATAGGGTTTAGGGTGAATAGACATGGGCTGGTTTTTTCCTGCGGGAGCAATGAGGAGCAGAATGAGTGGCTGTTCAGCCCAAGAAAACCCTAAATAACCCTAAGCCCTGAGCCGCATGCTGTCTACAGTAATTGCGGGTGACCGGAACCTCGGCAAGGACAGCTGAGGGCTTAGTTAGGGTTTAGGGTATTACCTATAGTCTCCATTGTAGTTCCTTTTTGGGGTTACCTTTTTAGCATCCTTAATCTAAAATTGGTTGAACCAAAAAACAGGGACTACAATGGAGACTATAAGTAAGGCTTAGGGTTTGAGACCTCTGTCTTCTGAGGATCATGGGCTGGGTTTTTTCTTGATATCTGCCGTGTACAGCCCAGCGTTAAGAGTTTTGTTGGGCGTGTGCAGACTAGCAGCAGGCCGACAGGTGTTTATGAAGTTCACCATTCTTGCATCCTTTGTTGATCATGTAGGGTTTAGGATTTAGGTGTTTCGGGTTTAGGATTTAGGGTTTAGAGTTTATGGCATCGTTTATTGATCATGTGGGCGTAAGTTTTTGGTTTGTCAACTGTTTTAAGTTAGAATCTATTGATCAGCGCTGGGAGGAGCCGAGGTCTGGGGTCCAAGGTGAACCTTCTACGGTTGATGATATAAATCCTGCATTACCTTAATGACCCTAAACTATGGAAATTATGGTAGATTCCTTATTATGGGTCATGCAGGATTTATATCATCAACCGTAGTGTCTTTGCTCCTTCTCTGCCTCTTCTCCTTGCCCCCTAAAATGTGCTCAATCAGCCCGAAGGGTTCAAAGTATTCAATGAACATTAACTAGGATTCCCAGTAGTAGCCTTATTCCCTTTTTGTAGTGCCAGGTTCCTTCTTGAGGTGCCCAATGCCAAAAGGGGAGGCCTTTTATTCGTAGGTTACTGGGCATCCTAGCAAAAGCTCTCAAAGACTAGCCTACATAACTGAGCCTGTACACCCTTAGACGAGTAACCCTCCTCAGCTAGAGTCCCCAGTGTCTGGAGTTAGCAGTGGGCTTCCAAGAACGACTCAAATACCTCGTTGAGGTGGATCAGAAGAACTTTTTTGGACGGACGACGCTGAAGCAGGGTCGTGTGATATGGGCGTTGGCAAGGTTTCCTGGCACTGTTTCGGCGCTGTTTTGCGGGCGCGCCCATAAGCTCTACCTAATTTGACCTTGGGGGGCGTACAGGAGTACATCTTCTCTCACTATAAACTACACCTAGACCGTGAACTCTAATTGACCCAATCATGCGGTCTGCCCGAAACCCTAAGCCATTCAGCCTTTACTTGGAGGTTCATGGGTAGTTATAAGTTGGGTCATTATAAGTCCCCGAATATGGGTTTAAAACTGTGGTTATCCTACTTACATCCCCACTTATAACTACCCTAAGCCCTTCTCCCTGAACCAGAAGCCCTATAGAACACTTAAGGGAACTCTAAACTCTCAACGGAAAACTCACTTATAACTATGCATGAACCTCCAAGCATATGATAATAGGATCCCTTAAAGGAGCCCTTTAAAGGAACCCTAAAGAACCCTGTTCTAGGCAAGGCTGGGCCTCCGCGTGGGGTTTAGAGCGGCCGACCTATCGAATCTCCCAAGCCCTGAATACTAAAGACAAACTTAGGGTTTTAGGGCTTAGGGCTTTAGGGCTTAGGGTTTTAGGGTTTTAGGGTTTCAGGGTTTAGGTTTAAGGGTTTAGGGTTCAGGGCTCAGAAGTTCCTTAATATTGTTTCTAGATTTTCTTATATACATGAAGCCCTAAACTGTGAAAGGAAGAAGCCTTAAGCCCAAAATTGTACACACAACGCAACACAACCCATCCAGTAAGGTGTAGGTTCCAGTTTCGAAACCCATGTCACAAATTCAGATGGCCGGGTATCGGCAGCACTGGTTCTTGAGTTTTCAGGGTCCGTGGTGGGAAGCTGAGACTAGCCATATCCCAAAGGGTGCTAAGTACCACATAGTACCAATCGTTTTGTTTTTCATTGGGTTTCGCCATCGGGGAGTATGTAAGTATGAGGTCAAATTTCATGGACGATTCTGCATAATTACGAGGGGACATTATCTAGGTATGAAAGCTTTTTTGTATGTGACCACATCTATTTGCAGTTGCTTCCTCATATCTTATGTTTATTTACACGGTTCAGCATTCAGCGTATTTTTTGCATTTTTTCTCGTGCATTCTGCAGCATTCAGCACCATTGGAGCACTGTTTTAGCACTATGCTTGGCATAATTTTGGCGTAGTTCTAACACTGTTTAGCATTAGGCCAAGCAAGAAGGCTTCCTTTTCAAATCTGTTAAACTAAATAATTGAAGCTAAAAAGTATACCCTGCGTGCAACATCCTTGTTGCACTGTACCGAAGCGCCACACTCACGGCAAACTGCCCCAAGTTGAGCACTGAACCTCCCAGACCCCACAACTGCCCGTGTTTCTGACCCTTGCCCTTCTGACCAGGATGCTCACGAAGCAATGGCCAAACTCAGTTAGCTATATCAACAGTTAAAACCCATGCCTGTGTACGAATATCCTGCATCACATAAAATTATGCAGCTAACATGAAAATACGTCAAAACAACATCTGCACGCACACGTGCGCACACACGCATCCATCCATCCATCCATCCATCCATCCATCCATGCATGCATGCATGCATGCATGCATTCATCCATACGTGCATACATGCATACAAGCATACACCCATACACGCATGCATGCACTCATGCACCCATGCATGCTTGCATGCTTGCATGCATTCAGACACACGGACACATACATATGTACATACATGCATGCATACATACATACATAGGTTATATGTTTACATATATGTGTGTTGTATCTGTATACGCGTATGTATGTACGCATGTATGTGTATCTATATCTTTAAAAACCTATACCTATATCTGCATCTAGACCTGTATCTATACACATGTCCATATATATATATATACACACATACACCTATCCCTATACCAATATCCATCTCTGGAATTACATTTGCATGTATTTCTGTATGTGTGTATATACATATGTGTATATATATATATATATATATACATACACATATTTTGTCGCATACGTTATGATTTTTACATTTACTTACTCAGTGCGTATGCCTTTTATAAAGACAGAGCGAGACGGATGCCAATTATATGCTTACTAAATTCGATCCTCCAAGAACCTCGCCGCCAGGTCCGATGAAGACTGAGGCATTCGTGTCGTGTCAGTTCGTCCTTTCGGGTTGAGGGCAAATGGTCGAGCGGTTTAGGGTTTAGGGTTTAGGCTTCAGACATAAGTGACATAAGGCTATTCTTAGTGGTACTTAGAGATAACTTAATCTTTGGTTATCATATTCCCTAGGCAAATACCTCAAGTTATAGGTTTCGCTAGGCGTCTAAGCTCAGTATAGTATTTAGGGTGTTGAGTTAGGTCTAGGTTTTTAGGGCTACGGTTTCACGTTTCGAGGGGTGGTGGGTGTTTAGGGTTCAGGAATGTATTGCCACAGGGTTTCATGCAGCTGGTTGGAGCGTAGGACGGCTTGCCTGCTATCTCTTGATGCTGTGAACGTTTTAACTGTTCACTGTACAGTGGCTCCAGCCAAAGGCAAGTTGAGTCAGAGGCCCCACAGTCTCAACCCCATACCGAAACCTTGAACCCCAAATCCAATAGCCCCATACCCAACACCCTTCACCGACCCTGGACCCCTTCAGATTTGGGGGTGTAGGGTTGCGGGTTTCGTGCTTATAGGGTTGCCGGGAGCTGATCTCCATCTTGCACGAAGGTTCCAAGTGCTATCATGTAACCTACAGCGATTTGTGTCGGAAAGCAACCCAAGTTTCTCATCACAGGGTATTGCACCATGAGGTCTACATCCTGCACCCTAATCACTAAACCTCGAGTGAACAAGCCATGAGCCCAGCACGCTAAGTCCAGCCACATACTGACAGACCCTAAACCAACCCTACTATAGGGGCCTAAAGAATTACCAATGCCATTTTGGGGGTTCCTTATTTTAAGTATAGTATAATATTCCCCAAAAGCCGATTCTAATCATTAAGGCCCCTATGCTAGAGCCTGCATCTCTCAGACCGCATGGGCAGGATCGGCGCCTGTAAAGATTAAACTTCCTGTCTCTGACCTTTGCCACATGCTGGCCCCATACATTTCCGGGACGGAAGGTACAGCCTGCAAGCGTTGTTTCCGGTGTGGTGTAGAAGCTTAGGCAACTAATTACCAATAGTAATCTTATGTGCCATGTGAAATATGCACACGCAGACTATAACGTCCCCCATAGGAAGCCATAGTAGCACCCTGTTTTAGTCTTGGTTTACAGCTGCAATTAAGCATCTCCAATGCATCCGCAGCAGCTGAACTGGGCCTTGGTTTCTGCTTGACAAAGGCTACCTACCCAAGCACTCCAAATGACCCAAACTTAGACTTGAGACCCCAAGGAAGGTACTACTCGGCCCCAGAGTACTTATTATTCCCTTTTTGAGGGTTTAGCTACCCTTTTAACCTCTTTTAAACCAAAAAGGGCACCCTTTTTATTACTAGGTTACTCCTGGGTCTAGACTATTTCTATGCTTGGATCAACCCTACAGTACGCCCTATAAAGTTGGAAGCCGGATTAAGGCCACATAGTGCTGGGGTTCCTTATACATTACTCTTAAGGATTGAGGCTATGGGGTTTCCAACTTCTGCGCTTCTACTGTAAAGCCTAAACCGTGCCAGTAGAATTAGAATGCCTGACCAGCTCATAAATACCTGCTAAAGCCTACACCCCTGAAACCCCAGCTGGAGCCCAAATAGCCTACTTGTTCGGGCTCCTTGCTATGATTTCTTAGGGTTTGGGATTTCTTTGTAACGACCTCCTCAAAAAAGGCACGTTATTCGGGGTGAAGGTAAAGCCTAAACCAATAAACCTGGGTTTGGAGTACCATACTTGAATACTTTTGTTGATGCCTGTTCCTTAAAGGAACCATAATGAAAAAAAGTCTACGCTTTTTTCTCCCTGGTTACTTCAAAGTTCAGGGCCTCAGGCTGCACCTCTCGGTGCCCGCTGGTGGCCTACAAGGGGCCACAGAATCATGTGCACGCAAGAGCGAAGGCGATAATATGCTGTTTTCTTAGTAGCTGAGTGGATAGGGAGATTATTACCCACTATAAAACACTAAAAGTGTACACTTTGGGGGGCTTATGAACTCAGCAACTATATAGGTTTTTCTTTGTTGGGAGGATCTGATCTACGACCCTTTCTTTACATGCTTTCAAGGGCCAAAGAGAACATACTAAACTTCGCGTTCTTCTGATTGGCTCTTTAGACTTTAACTTTTTGGGCTTCTATATGAACTATAATAAGGAGGCTAAAAGATTAACTTTTAGGAGGGGTTGAGAAGTCAGCCAAGTAGTGTTAATGCCGGACCTTAGCCTGAGGCTTGTTTTGCAGTAGACTCCGAAAGGGTCCTATGTACCGATATGGGAGTTTCCGAAAATTAGGGGGTTCCTTATTTTGGGATCCTTATAATAAGGCTCCTACTATTTGGGGTGCTATATTAGGGCCCCCTATTTTTGGAAACTCCCATATAGTAGAATGTAGGGTTTCCATATTAAGACTTACTATTATGACTTCGGGAAGTATCGCCCATAACATTACATAGAACCCTTTGGGACTATCTGTGTTTTCATGCTGTGAAGCAAAAGAAAGCATGGAACGACGAACTTGCAGAGCCCGCAGAGTTGCGAATCTCTACTAGCCCGCATACTTGGATGGACACGTAAATTGCTGCTAGGACCATTGACCCAAGGCCGCGATACTTGTGGGTTCACCTTCACTCCGTCTGTCAGTGTATGGCAGCTTATCGCAACAGGTCGATGTTTTTTCCAAAAGTTGTGAAGCTAGGACCCAGAGTAGGCCCTTATTCCCTTTTTAAGGGTTTAGGTTCCCTTATAACCCCCTTTAAACTAAAAAGGGCACCCTTTTTCTTCCTAGGTTACTCTTGCGTCTAGGAAGATTCCGGTTGGCCAACATCTGATCCGCAAGACGGCGAGCCAGAGCTAGAAGCACCGAGTTTTGGGTTCTGACTTCTGGGCTTAGAGTTTAAAGTTTGGGTTCTGGGTTCAGGGTTTAAGGTCTGGAGTTTAGTTTTTTGGGGTTCTGTGTGAAAGATTCGGAGTTTAGGCTTTGAGTTTGGGGTTTAGGGGTGTCTGTGAAGCCATAAACCCGAGCTACCGGGCTTCAAGCGTGCTGGGGTTGCTCTCTGTGAAGATCCTGATAAAGGATTTCTTTACAGGTCAGAGGAAGGGTGTTTATAAGGTTCATGACGCGATGTAAGCGGTTTCTGTGGCGCCGCTCTATTTCCTCAAGGGTTCAAGTAAGCAAAATTGTTGTTAGGTCGCAAAAATTGTATGTAATACTTTCAATGGGAGCAGGCTGATTTTCTTGAGCAACCCCGATGCATGCAACCTGCAAGGTAGGCTTTAGGATAATGCAGCAGCGTCGAAGCAAGCGTCGCGATGCAGCGAAAAAGAAAGATCGCGCGAGCTGCATGGGGGTTGGGGTAGAGGGCTTCTGGCTGGTTTACGGTTCATGCTGGGATCGTGACTAATCACTTCCCACATGCCCTCCCCACATCGTTCGAAACCCTAAACCCGACACATCTGAGCACGAATCTTGGTTCCAAGCCTAATCCTTGAAATTGAAGTGTGACAACCGCGGGCCTTCTGGGTTTTCGGATTCAAGGTTTGGGATTGGTAACAATCTTATGCAGATTTGCCTACATATATTGGCCCACAAAAAGTACCTTGACCCATGTCATTGGACACTTGAGCCCACAGGATAGGGCTGGTTCAATGACGGGCTTGGTTGAGCACTATGTGGGCATTATTAGTGACAGCATTTAGTCCCTACATGTGTATAACGCACTGGACCCCGAAACCCTACTCTAGTTAGCACCGCAGTAACTAGGTAGGGCTTTGGGACATTCTATATTTTCCCTTATTGGGCTTAACAGGATCCTATTTACTAACATTTTTCAAAGGCTTTAAAAGCCCCACCTAGGTAAGCAAGGCCGCTATGTTTATCTGTTGGAGGCCGGGGCAGTGAGCATCTCGGAGCCTGTGTGCCAGGGTTTCAGGATGCACTAACCCTAAACCCATACAGGTGACAAAAACCATGTCGGTGCAGCATGTATGTTAGACCAGAAGCCGGCACAATGAGCGATATGAGAGCTGCGCTTAAAATCAAGCCCGTATACTCCCAAACAAGTGGATGCCTACAACTGAATAAACTAGGATGCCCAGTAGTACCCTTATTCCCTTTTTGTAGTCCTAAGTTCCTTTTAAATGTAGGGCACGATTTAGGGTTCGGGGTTCATGGTTATGGCTTAGGGTTTGGCGTGTATCGGATCTACAGTTGCCAGGCTCCCTCTGGTACCACAGGCTCCCTAGTATTGGGGGTCGGAATGAGTATAATAGTTCGCACTTAACCCCCCCCCAATATGTGTACGCATATTCTACCATACTGTACCATACGCAAAATTCCTACAAGATATAAACCTTATAAACCTTAAACCCTCCATGATCACATGTTCGACCGCATCTCTCAACAACTAGTCTGCCTGCGCAAATGGGAAGCTGCTCCCATTAACTGCAACGGCAAGAATGACTGCAACGAAGCAAGAGGCCCATGCAAGTTGGATAGCAGAAGAAGGTCGTGTTGATTAGTTTCCTTTGATATGCCATAGGCGGTGACCTCGTAATTATGGGGTATAACACCAAAAACAATATGTTTTCGATTCCCCGACACCCTCTTAGAACCTAAACCCGAAACCTTCAACCCCAAACCCGAAGCTTTAAACCCTAAACCCTACCCCGAAGCCTTAACCCTAAACCCGAAACCCTGAGCCGTATGCAAGACCCGAAGCCACGCCCCAAGCCGAGGAAAGAAGACGTGAGCGCGACGGGGCAGATCCTAGGGACCAGGAGGCCTTGAATAAGTTGCCATGCTAACCTGAAGAAGTACTGGGGCTTTGGAGTACCATCCTTTCAAACTTTCTTTGAAGGAGCCATTATATTATTATATGGGTGGCTTTTTAAGATTATGGTCCCTTTTGGGGTCCCTAATATAGTACAGCACCTAATATTTGGAGTGCCCAAGGAACCCTAATTTTGACAACCACCCATATATCTAAATAGATGTGTATGTATATA